ATGGAGTATTTAGTTTTGTTAAAAATTTCTTCGTTATTTGTCAATGTAAACAGTTAATGATTTTCGAAAAAAATCAGTTTTGTTTGGTACTTCATTACACAAATAAATTTCATATACTCTCTCTATCTTATATAAGCTTAAAATTTCTAGCACGGGACATACGGGACATTGATTGCTTTATTATAAAAAGAATTTCCCCTCTTTCTAAATATAAACTTCTACATTTATTCTAAGTATGGGGACATCAGGACATTCGATGAGTGATTAAATTTTTGTCGCGAATAAAATAGTAAAATTTGTTTAAGTTGAATTCTTACGAGCAGGGGGTTGGTTGAATGGATGTAGAGTTGAGAAAAAATATTTATGCACATTGATAAGAAAAGAGGTACTTTAAGAAGCTTAGAAAGGTTTTGAATTCGTTTCAAAATTTGAAACTATTTTAGGTTTCGTAAAGTACCTATTTTCTTTGCAGTGTAGTGTTTTATTGATCGGAAGTTTTTAAGTTACTTTAATAAACAAATTATGGATCGCTGATCTCAAGGATATTTCAAAATCAGTTGAACTCTTCTACTGAGTATATGTTTTGGCTTTATCTTATCAGTATGAGATTGCTTTTTATTTTAAAAATGCTGCATTAGATGATTGAACTTTTACTATGCACTACATAAAATGCTTTCTAATTTCTATAGCAAAAATTATGTGTTTGCCATTAATAAGAAAAATTATGGTACACTAAAGAAATTGAGAAAAGCAAACAAGAGAAACGTTCTCTGTCGAGAAACATATAAGATATTATATTCAACAATGACACTGTATTTTTTATATTAACGTATAATCTTTGTCTAAGATTTTCAGAGCCGTCCGAACCGTTCCAACTTTGAGGAAATACTAATAGTGCCAATGAAAGAAGGTAACTGAGTTTCACACTCATCAAAGAACTTTTGAATCCCAGTCAAAAAAATTTCAGTACCTTCTTGCGCCTCTCTGCAGAAACTTTTCAGGTTTTTGAAATATCTTCGTGTGCATCTCCAATTTTTTTTCTAGCTCACTCACAATATAAAAGTTTGTTCTCTATGATACTATATTTCAAAAATAAAGCAAAACTCTTACTGTTCATTCACTTTATCTTTCTTGATAAACAATATAAATCAATTTGAAGTACATATTATATGAAATAAACACAAAAAGAAAGTGCGAATAGAAAAGTTTTTGAAACAAAGAGCAAGATGGCACCTCAACGGTCATATGAATAGTACAATTTCATCAATTTATACAAATTTTTACTATGAAGTTGCTCTTTCATGAGAGACTGAACGTTGAATCAAAAACGATATACTCGCGAATGTATTGTTATTTATTGAATTACATTTATTTTTGCAATTAATAGTTCTTTTCTCGCTTTCTTTCTATGCATATCTTATAGTTTTCTTTATGATTAATACTATTTCTGATGACAATAGAGCATATTCATCTGAAACATACCACGTTTACATCGAAGTTCGCCGCCAGCGACGGGATCTAGTGTATCTTGTAGAGAATTTTTTTCTGATTAAAACCTAAATACTGAAATCTCCAGCATTGATGCGCGACTCGAAATAAAACAGAAATACTCTCACGTTAATAGTAGCAACCTCTATCATATTTTCCCAACAAAAGGACTTTTTAATGTTATTCTTAAATGAACTATTCCTGATTAGATTCTATCTATATTGGAATCAATCTGAAGCTTACAATTGAATGCTTCATTCATGATAAAATCAGCTTTGCTATACATGCCTTTGTTGAGAAAATCAATTCGAATGAAGGATATATTTCTCTTATTTTATTGAGTTTTTTTATAATTATGGATGATTATATCGCTGAAATAATGTGCATAGAAATAGTTTTTGTTATTGAATAAATAGTTTTAAAAGGAAAAAAGTATTCAGACGTTTGCGGGACATTGCAAAATGGCATATTAAAGTTGTTTATTTCCATTAATACAGATCTGTATTAATGGAAATAAACAAGTTTGTTATGTCATTTGTAATATCGCACAAACATCTGAATCCCTTTTGTGAAACACGATCTGAAAGGAGTGTTGAAGTATATCGGATAGAAATTTGCACCGATTCCCATTCCTCGACCCTTTCCCGTCACAGACCGTGACAGGCAGGCTCTAGAGGTCATCGCAGGCCGTGGTAGACGGCTTCATGAGAATATCGGAAATCATGTATAACTATCATCTTATTGGAATATATATGGTGTATCTCCTTGTTGAAGTTCTATACTGTAAAGTAAGCAATTATGGAAAAATATGTCCCAATATACATAAAAAGACCAGTTCTTACACTCTAAAAAAATTGGTTTATTATCGAACTTAAAAAAAGATTTAGCAAGTTGAAAAACCAAAAAAGAATCTTCCTCCAGATACACGGGAAGAATGTTTACTTCTGAACCTTTTAAGGTTTCGTAGGCAAGAGAAACGTTTTGTAGAAAAATTACAAAACATTGCAGGTTAAACAGAATACCTTGAGGGTTTAATACAAAACCACCAGAAATCTCAACTAACCTCTGAAGGTTTTGTAGTTTTCTACCAAACGTTTTTTCTTGCCTACGGAACCTCAAAAGGTTCAGAAGTAAAGGTTCTTTCCGTGTATCCAGGAGAAGATCCTTTTTTGGTTTAGTAACTTGCTAAACCTTTTTTTAAGTTCGGTAATAAACAGACTTTTTTCAGAGTGTTGAGGATTAGCAACAATGCCTACATTGTGTTTCACATTTTAATTCCACAGAGATTGTGCTAACATATTTTTCCTTTTAAAACTATCGATTCAATGAGAAAAACTATTTCTATACACATTATTTCAGCGATACATTCATCCATGATTATTAAAAAAATCAATAAAATAAGAGAAAAATATCCTTCATTCGAATTGATTTTCTCAACAAAGACATGTATAGCAAAGCTGATCTTATCATGAATGAAGCGTTCAATTGTAAGCTTCAGATTGATTCCAATATAGATAGAATCTAATCAGGAATAGTTCACTTAAGAATAGCATCAAAGAAGTCCTTTTGTTGGGAAAATATGATAGAGGATGCCACTATCGACGTGAGAGTATTTCGATTTTAGTTCGAGTCACGCATCAATGCTGGAGATTTCAGTATTTAGGTTTTAATCAGAAAAAAATTCTCTACAAGATACACTAGATCCCGTCACTGGCGGCGATGTTCGTGTATAAAGTCGTATGTTTCAGATAGATATGCTCTAATTAGATTTTGATAATTACTGTTTTTTGATATCATCTTTTTAAGAATCTTTTTCGTGAAACAGGATATGCTTGATACTAATATATAAATCAAAAAAATCGCAAAATAGTATTATATTTCTATCTATCTCTAGAGCAATAAAAGACAATTTTATGAGACTAGTATACAAAAATATAAGAGTGAATTGAAAACATTTAACTAATTGCAGAACAAACATGTCACTTTTGAGTATTTCACTTGAATCGATTTCTCGAGTCCTGCATTATTTAATGTTTGAATTACAGCTTGTCGATATGACAAACACAGATGGTTTGCATTATCGATCTGAATCTATTTCTAGTGAAGATATTATTAATATCATTAAACATTTCAATGAAATCTGACGCATGATCAGAATAAGAAATCGTCATTGCAATAACTGTTTTAAACCCATTAATGGTTGAGTTAATTTTAAGGATATTAATTGCATTTTTTACACCAACACATTTTTATTCGATCAACCATTCGAACACAATTGCAAGCAAAGTCACTATTGCAATGTATATGTCTTCGACATGATAAGAATTTATTGTTCTATACTAACATATAAAAAAAGAAATAAAAAAAAAGCATTGCATATTGTATTATCAGAACATGTCGACTTGCTACAAATGTATATAGAAAAAATTTAATCCATAGAATTAAATCAGAAAAAAATATATGATCATGCAACACAACTTTATTTTCACGTGTAATTAATATTATCAAAAACAAAAAAAAATTTTATTGTCAACATTTACCGAGATAAAATCTAATTTTATTGATATTTCATTGTCTCATATTGACTATTACGATATGAAAATTTTGCTCAATAATAATTTTATAGAATCAAGCTTTATTTATAATACAAGACAATAATAATACTTGAACATATATCACATACCATTTTAGATTGAATCCATTCTCGAATCGATTATTAAATAATTTCTTTATTTTTATCTCTTTCTTCTAATATGATTCATCTATTCATTTGATTATTATTATCTAAAAACACGATGATTTATTGTCTCGTTTCTCATATCAGTTTAACTTCTTAACTGTTATTGATGTATGTATACGTCAGAGTAATCTTCAAGGAAAAAATGAAGACTACAATTGCTTAAACTTCGTTTCTTCGTAAAATCTGTATCAACTTTAACATCCTACACTCATTGAAGCTCACTCTACTGATCCTGATGTTTAATATCGATTATGTCTCTATGCGTCAATTGTACCATTATTAATATTTAATGTAGATTTGCGTCTTAAGTACTATTATTGAATTGATTGTTACTCCCACTCTAGATAACAGCAACAGACACAATCGCACGATAGTATACATAAATATATATATATTATTCTTCCAAGTTTCATTCGCTTCTGAAAGATTTTAAAAGAATATTTGCCTATGTTCTAAGGGAATTCTAATAATCCAGGTCGGCCGATCCATCGAATGTTTTTGATTAAGTTTGTAAAATTTAGTAATTGAAAAACAACTTATGTTTTCTACAAGTAAATAATAAAACATATTTGACCGTCGAAGTTTTGTGTTATCCTGAAATATTTTTTTTTTTGAATTTCTAAAAGTTATTTTACGAGAACTTCTTTTCTGACTAGTTTAAAAAATTTAACAATTAAAGAGTTAATTTAAATATTTTATTTAAAAATATATCTCATAAGAAAATAAGTTTACAAATACTTCTTATTTAATTGTTGCCTATGGAATTTCTTTTCTAACAAGGAGGATATTTCCTTTTTAGATATCCCAATAAAGCTCTTGTATGCGTTATATTTGTGTCATATAATGTATTAACATCGGAATGATTTAATGCTGTATTATCGCGTATATAATCTAATGTTGCTACATTATAAGAAAGACCAGTTTTTGATATATCTGTTCCATTGAATAACCATGTTTTACCTTCATCTAATGTTTCAACTCTCGTATAAGCCATAAACATTCCATTTCCTTTTAATGACAGACCAGTTGTAAGAACTTGAGCAAGTATTTGACCAGGAACAGAAAGAGCTACGACTCGATTTATAAAAGGTAATGTACGTATAATATCATATTCTGAAATAGTTTCACGAAGAATATCATCAATACGTACTGTTCCTCCATTAACAATTCCAATAGTTGTTTTATATGTTGCTGTTAATTCTAACATACTTTCACAAATCTCAGAAGTTAAAAGTGTTATATGACTTCTAACAGATACAGATCTACCATCTAATTCTATACCCGTAGGTAAACATGATACAATTGCATTTGGATTGTAACCTAATGTTTGAAATCCTTGTATACCTAAATTAAACCAATAACTTGCTATTTCTGCTGTGTTTTCTTCGTTTGGTACTTCAGATGTTACTTGTGCTAATGTACTATAAATACGAAAACGTTTTGTGTCTATATTATAAGCACAACGATGTATAAAAACAGTAAAAGCATTTGCATCTGCTTTATTAATTGGTATATAGTTTGTTCCTCTTAAATAATTAAAATTATCATGTTCATGTCCACCCATAATAAGATTAAGTTGAGGAATTTTTGATGCAAGTTCAATATCTGTTGCCATATCAAGATGAGTAATAGCAATAAATACATCATATGTGTCATTTGGTAATAATTTTAAATATTCTTGAACATAATTAATTAATGATGATTGATTAATTATTCGAACATATTTACCAGTTCCATCAATAGTTAAACCAATAAGTAGAATTCGAACAGTATCAATAATAAGTATTTTATGAGAAATACTTGATCCAAATAATTGATTATTATCTTGACGAAATACATTTGTACTAATCCAAGTAAATATTGATTCATTCATTCGAGTAAGTAAATCTTTTTCGTTTAAATCAAATTCATGATTTCCAAATATTACATAATCAACTCCAAGAATATTCATTACTGCAATCATTTGTTTTCCATTCAAAGTTGTACCATTAACTATTGATAAACTTAGAGCTGATGGAGAAAGAAAATCACCGGCAAGAATTGTATAAGTATTTGAATTTTCTTGTTTTAATAATTTTCGTATATAAGCAACACGTGCTAAACCACCTTTTCGTCCTCTGTCAAGTGGTAATAATTCATAAACATCATTCATTTGTAAAAAATTCCATTGAACATATCTACCATCATTAGGTAAAATAAAACGATGACCAATAATTCCATTTTCAATTGAATAAATACTTGAAGAAGTTTTTGTATTACGCCATAAAATAGAATAAACAATAGTTAAAACAGTAAGACAAATGATTACTAAACTCAAAATAGAATAGACAAGACCATGTGGTAAAAATAAAGTTTTCAATCGATTTGTATTTACATTTGTCATGACTAAGAATTAGTCTAATAAAAAAAAAACGATACAAAAATCAACTTGAGAATGACTAAGAGTGTTGTCTTAATCTTTAGTTAAACACACATATTCTATTCTCGTTTGTCAAAATGCTTTAATCTTATGAATTATACATTAGGATACTTAATTGCTACTTATTCTTGTCTAGACTAGATTTATAAAATTTGTATATTGTGTAAGACGCGAAATACAAGAAGTTTTTTTTTCAAAAATATTTGAAAAGGATGATCTTTTAAAAAAAATTGTATGGAAATCTTTGTTCAAATAAATGAATCTGAAATAATCAAGGTTCATGGTTGTTTTTTTTAATCATACTACAGAAAGTATTAAAGTTTGAGAATGTTATGCGAATACGTTCGTCTTTTATTAGGTTAGTTTTCGTCAATGAATATCATCGTATTTGGTTACCTACTGTGTCTTATACAACCAACAAAAAGAAAATAAAATGTCTACTTACCAAATACTACATGAAAAGACTGTCGAGAACCATGATAAATAACTCTAGAGAGATTGATAAATCACTTGTAAAGAATACTAATAAATAAAAGAAAAAGAATGAGATTATATAGTGCTGAATAGACATGTGACGAATCCGAACTTGAATTCGGAGTTTGGACTGAATGGTTCGGGTGCACATTTGGATTCTGTCTTAAGACTTGATGTCATGATTTGGGTCCGAGTTGGAATGTCTACATTAAAAGGTGAAGCCATTCGTAATACATCATAAAGAGTGAGCTGTTGCATCCGAGTTCTTTTTCAAGCGCTTTACATACATATGAAGGAAAGAAATAATAGAGATTGTTCTGCAAGATTAAGTTAGTGTTGGTTATCTGCATATCATGGAAAACTACACATAAAAATTCAAATCAATTTCGTAGGATTTTGTACAAAAAAAATTGCCTATGACATATAAATAATGATGTACTATCCGCAACACATAATGAATGACATTATACCTCTCTGCAAGTTTTGTATAAAAAGAGCTTTTTTAGCTGACTAATGTAATGTACTGCGTATTTATATCATTGATTAGAAAGATTCTTTTCTTGCAATCGACATAACATACGATGCAAAAGTAATGGTTGTAGGTAAGTGTTTGAGTATCAATATGATTGTTAACATTATTACGAACATCCAGATCCATCAAATTTAAAATGTCAATTTCTTTTTCTTTATTCAAAGATGGAGGTGTGGGTATATGTGAGGGGTGTGGATGTGGGTAGGCGTGGGTGTGGATGTGGGTGTGAACCTTTCTCTTCTTGCACACCCACCCCACACCTCATCCGCACTCACACCCACACCCATCCGCACCCGCACCCACACCCATCCGCATCCACATCCCACACCCCGCACCCACACCCACACCCAAGTCCATCCCATGGGACTCTAGTAGATAGAAGTTAACCTGACAATAGATACCTAACGTAAGCATTCAAACTGTTTTAGACGAAAAATAAAAGAACGTTATTCGATGTCCCAGCTTTCACTCTGAAAACACGAGACCATCGACATTATAGACTTATAATGAATTTGATGCTCTAAATCATATGGAAGTATATACTGATCGAGCATATTCTAGAGACTTAAACACACGAGAGTCCTTTCTCGCGTAAAAACTGAAATATTAACTATGCAAAAGTAGATTGAACAGCAGCAATTCCACGTTACACATGTTTTGAGCGGCCATTAACGGTCTCTTAAGAATTTATTTCAAACTCTACCTCCACAAGCTACTTTAATTGAATGCATCGATGCATTGTTAAGGAGGGGTGGTGCTTTGGAAAATCACAATAGAAATAAACTTTGAATGTTTCTCCAAGGAACTCGCCAAAAGATTTTTGTAGCGTCCCCTGCATTTGATAGTATTATATTAAAAAGCATAAATAAGAAGAAATACAACTATTAGCGAATTTAAGTGGAATAACGAGTATTTCGACAAAAAAATACTATTGAATTATCATCACTGTGATCATCGGTGGAATGGAAAACATAATTAGTTAATCTTTCTGAATGAATTGATTAGATCACAACAGTATGCAATGTACTAAAATGACTCCGTTTGCGTTTTTTGTACATGCATGTGTGCCAAGATATTTTCGACATTGGGCAATTAGTATAATTTCAAAAAAATCCATGGGCAATTAACTTTGAATTTGTGGGCAATTGCCTAATGGCCGCACTCCTAGATACGTTACTGATCAATACAATAAAATAATAGAAAAAACATCAATAGAATAGAATAAAATAAAATAAAATAATAAGAAAATTGTCTATAGAACAAAATAGAATAATAAAAATGCCTATACAATTAAAAAATAATAAAAAAATATCTATACAATAAAATTAAAAAAACTAAAAAGTTTTCTTCAGTTTATGGGAGATTAAATGTTTATGATGAGCTATACTTAATCTAAAAAAGAAAAGAAAAGAAAAAATATGTATATCAAAAGCAAAAGATTTTTCGTTATTATAAAATAATTTTTCTATGAAGCATGTGAATCTAAGTCAAAATTAAGTATTTATGAACGCCACATTTCCTTCTTTTCTGTCGCATCATTTTCAGGAACAGCTAAAATTTTTGTACGAGAAAAATATGGCTTATCCAAACTTCGCCAATAAGACTTTCGGGAATCCGAACAATATGAAATAGACAACAGTTTTTTTCTTCCTTTACTTTTATCCATATTATATCCATATGTATCCAAGACATGTTACCGACACATCTGTCAACACATCTCTTACAAGAAAAAAGAATGTTACAACACATGTAGTTTCATGTATGTTCATCGTGTCGACACATGTGTCGCCACTGTGCCCTAGCGATGTAGGAAGTTTAGCGTCAATGAGCGCTATCTATTGATGCTAATATCATTGGATGGAGCTCATCAAGTTGTATTTGGAGCAAGAATAAGAACTTTGGAACAGATTCTTAGACGAATTTGGGCAATTTTTTTCTAGAATTTAGTGCTGAATGGAACTACGTCGTACAAATACTGTTTTTTATTCGTTCACCGTTGTTTACGCTCTTCTTCTTTCGACCTGAGTCATACATTAATTACTGTGTAACGTTCTTACATATACAACGAAGAGAAAACGTGATTTGAAGGCTACTCTATTCAATTGCTTGTTTTTCTTTCTTTTCAGATAAAAGAGAGCCGATTTATGCATCTCCTTCTCTTGTCTCTTTATACATTAGTTATGGTAGAACGTTGTTACATACAGGACGAAAAAAAAGACTGCCGGGAGGCCTCTCTATTTAACTGCCTGCTTTTTTTCGTCTACGTAAAAGAGAGGCAGCCTATGCATCTCTCTTTCACACATCAGTGATCACTGCATAGAGAGAGGGATAAAAGCATGTGTTCCTCGCATTTTTATTTAGTTATTCGCTTTGATTTAGAATTACAATCAATACATTAGCAATTCTTTCTCTATTAAAATCATTCTGGAACAATATCTTACGATAATTACTTTGAACACTTTAGTATTTGTATTCTAAGCTATTTATACGAAGGTAACTTTTGTTCTTTGAAATGTTCTTGCGCTTTTCAGCTATACAATGCAAATCTTCTACCTTAACTTTTATACGCATGTGTGCTTCACGAATTTGCTCGTCGAGTTTTTTCTCTGTACCGAAGTCCATAAACTCCGATGAGTTACCTAATTCGAATTTGAATATAAATGAAGATACAATTGTTCGCTGTCAATTCGAAAATAAATGCTAAAGATCGAATCATAACTATTATATACTATAGAGATAGATGGGAGTAAATTGTATTTTTTTTCACTTTCGCTTATATGTATATAAATGGGTGATTGTATCGTATATGTGATGCTTTATACACGACTTTCTCCAAATCGACTTTTATGTCTGCAATCGTATAGAGCATACTCGGTTTACTTACTAAATTTTAAAAAAGTCCGTTACAAATTCTAAAATATTTGAAGCAATTAGTGATTCATTAGATAAATGCGAAAACCAGCTAATTCTATATAAAAGCAGTGCAAACAAAGCTAAAATGTCGATCATCATATCTTGTTAACTCAAAATTAGGGCACATAGTAACATAACAGGCTTTGTAGAGCGAAATTTGCTCTACACGTCCATATATAACACATTTCACGGGTGTATCAAACAGGGGCTATTCCAGCATGAAAGTTTTTATCATGTAATAGTATATATAATTATACATGGAATAATTATTCTAATAGTTTCATGTTAAAATAGTTCCTGTTTGATACTCCCCTGAAAAGCTATTAGCGCAATCCCTTGCGGGATTAAAAATGTGAAACACGATGGATCTATTGTTACTAATTAAATGGAAATCCTTTTGTTCCGTTTCTTTGCGACACATTTGTAGCTAATCGTTTATCTGATGCTTTACAACTACAGTTTCCTCTGTCATGATCTGTGATGGGTACCAGAGTTCTCTATCACGGTCTGTGATGGTGCCCGGGATTCTGCGTCACAGTCTGTGATGGGTACCAGGGTTCTCTGCTACGGTCTGTGACGGGTATGGATTTTCTCTGTCACGGTCTGTGGGAGGGGGCGGGGGGGGGGGGGGGGGGGGGGGGGTGCAAATTTCTATCCCTAAACACTTCAACACTCCTTTCAGATCGTGTTTCACAAAAGTGTTACATATGGGCATGCAGAGCAAAGTTTGCTGTGCCACTATGTGCCCAAATTCTGCATTAACAATATATGATGATGGACATTTAGCTTTATTTATATCGTTTTATATAGTATTTACTATTCTCAGAACGATCATTCCGACTGTCGGAAACGGCATCATAAAGGATCTGAAACGGTTATAAAATGACGTATTATGGCGTTAATTTTCACCGTATTTTATCGCAATTCATCAGCCTGTTTTACGGGCTTTTTTTTGCTAGAAAACGGCCATTGTTTTTGACACTATTTTACCGGTTTTCAATATTTTGTCATTTTTATGCCGCTTACTGCCGTTTACTTCACTGTT